CTCCACATTTACCGGCCATCAGGCACGGAGGGGAAATTGGACACCCATTACTTTTTTTTAAAAAAAAACCTCCACATTTATAGGCCACTGAGCATGAAGAGACAATTGGACACCCAACACATTAATTCAACTGCATCCCCCAAATTTACCAGTGTTAAGCTTGGAAGGGCAATTGGACACCTTAACCATATACCAATGACATTTCCACATTCTAAATATACACACATCCGATTACAAAACTCAACACTTAATCCAATACCTTGTGGATGCAATGGAATGCAAGAGTTCCTAATATTGTGATTTAACTAAAGTCCAATTCAATCACACACAAAATCAATCCAACGAATACAATATGAAACAATAATGTTCCAGACCCCCTTTTTCCCCCCACCCCCTTGACCCCCTCTCAACATGATTGGCCAGTTTTTCTTTTTTCTTTTTTTCTTTCCCCTCCAATCACCACCCGCCACTTATGTGTGGGGGGTGGTGGGGGTGGTGATTGAAGGGGGTTTCAATCATGACCCCAATATGAAATACATACATACATATATATATATATATATATATTCATGTCCCCAAGTCAACTGCGCGATCAATTTTAATTATAAACCAATTCATACAATGAATCTTTCAACATTTTCTAGATTTCCACCCAAAACAACTTCATTAAATCCTCCATTAACATCATCATAACACCAATCTCATTCCATATATGGGTTAATCGAAATTTCAACATATAGTATGATTTTAATTCAAAACCTCATTTAAAAATAAAATCCCAAATCTAGGGTTTCAAGAAAATTAGGGGGTTTTCTCATTTCATCATCAAATCCAGCAATCATCGAATATTTCTCATTAATATCTCAAAACAATCTAAATATTTCAATTTTTGAAGTGAAGCCCCCATTTTTTAATATAAACATCTTTTAATCAAAAATTTCAAACTCAAATCGACCCATAATTCTCATAATACAACATAATCAACGAAATCATAAATGATTAGAGTTAAAGGAACTCCCTACCACAAGTAAGTGAGCAAACAGTGAAGACCCAAACAAGAACTCCAACAAATTCGTAATCCAATCGATCATGAGAAAGATCTTCACTTCTCATTCACTAATCTTGCATGATCTAAAGTGGATCCTTGGTGTAATGAGATGAAATCAAAGGTTTTGTGGCTAGGGTTTTCGAACATGAAGAGGTGAGGGAGAGAAAAGTGAGAAAAAATACACAAAATGTGGGATTTATACTTGCTGATTCCAAACAGACCACTTGAGCAACCACTCTTGTGCTCAAGTGAACACAGCCAACTATTAGAATCTCAAACCTGCAAACAAAAGTATTGGATGCCTCGAAAGACCGCTCAAGCAAACACTTCTTCGTTTGAGTGACAAAGTGAAATTTCCAGACCGTTACAAGAGCCCTCATCTCCTATGTTTCTGTTGGGTTCGTTTATGACAACGACAGAGAGAGTGATGTGAGGACATAGAGGTTGTTGGAATTTCTGGGTTTGGTGAAGATTTGCAAACATGTTTCGATTTGTATGATACTTTCCTCTGCAAATTCGCCTCTTATTTTCTACCTCTATATCTATATATATATAGCTATTTATGTATATGAATGATGAATGCAAGAGAGGAGAAGAAGACAAAGGGGTTTTGAGTTTGGATTAGAATTTGAAGGATAAATGAATCTGAATGTATTAATGGGTATGGATCTGGATGTTCTATCATAAAAAAAAAGGGGGGCATTTGAACTAAGAAATCAGTTGTGTGTTAAAAATTTGTAGCGAAACAAAGTATGTTTCTCTTTGATTTCATTATCAATTTCTAACTACCCCAATCTTCTCGGGATCAATTTGTCTTTCAACAATCTTAGTGGTGCATTTCCTTCACAAGTCTATGAAATTCCAAGCTCCTTCACAACTAGGATTGAGAAAGAGAGGAGAGAGAGAGAGAGAGAGAGAGAGAGAGGAAGAACCTAAAAGCATAAGTGCAATCACATCGTCCATGTACAAGTGTGCAACTTCGTTGGTGGTGGAGATTCTGAAGAGAGGTGGGTAGTGTTCTACCCAGGTTGGTGGTCAGTAGCGATCATCGGTGAACACCCAAGTCAGTGGTGGTCGTCGTCATCGGTGAACACCTAAGTCGATCGCTTGACGCTAGGTCCCAAAATCATGTTCCTCTCTCTCTCTCTCTTCTCTTTTTTTATTTTATAAATGTGTGGGTTTCACGCATTGTTACAGAGGGTTTCTCACTCTTCTCTCTCTTCTCTTTCTTTGCTTTATAATCTTGTAATCACATTCAGGCCATTCGGGACAGTGAAAATTCGAGTTACCCAGCAAAACTGCTCTTCTATTATATAATTTCTTGTCCTCCCCTCCCCTTCACCTACCTCTCTCTCTCTCTTTCTCTCTCTCTCTCTCTCCTCTCCTCTCCTCTTTGCTCTGTAACTTCTACTTTTCCATAATACACAAACAATTAAAACCAAAACCATTCTATTCTCAATTTGCAAACAATATCTTCCAACAATAGTCCACAAATTAATCTTGACAAAACATCCCAAACAAACCCCAAAATATGTCTAATTCATCCCAATCGCTAAAACCCCAATTCATAGAAATTCGAATACATATATAAACTGAAGATGAAAAGAACAAACAAACAAGCAGACCTTGATCAAGATTGTATCACTGCAGAAAAGCAATAAAAACAAACCCCCAAATCTACCTAATTCATCCCAATCCCTAAAACCCAATTCATAGAAATTCGAATACATATATAAACTGAAGATGAAAAGAACAAACAAACAAACAGACCTTGATCAAGATTGTATCACCGAAGAAAAGTAATAAAAACAAACCCCAAAATGTATCTAATTCATCCTAATCCCTAAAAACCTAATTCATAAAAATTCGAATATATACATAAACTGAAGATGAAAAAACAAACAACCTTGATCAAGATCGTTTCGCCACAAAAAAGCTGCAACTTTTCGATGATAGCATCTTGATGACAAATTTGCCATCATTGACGGCCGCATAGACGATGAGTCGATTGAGGGACTTCTTGCGCTCCAAGATTGCGATAAAAAAGTCCTTCGCTCCTAAAAATCCATCCCCTCTCGATGGTGTCACCGGAATCTATGGTGTTGTCAGAATCTATGGTGCCGCTAGAATCAATGATGAGCTGCTGCATATGATCACTCTGTTGAAAGAGCTTCAGGAATAGCTTCGTGGTTGGTCTAGGGGCGCCATGTGTCATGCCCTTACCAATCACAATTCACCATGCCCTCTCATATTCCACAATCACTTAACACAAAATCGTGAATTTTACCTCTTCCACCAACTGCAACATTGTTGAGACATCACATAGCAGTGCCCCAAGACCAACCAATAACTTCTCCAAGAGAAATGTCTTCTTTTTTTTAGTCTCCCTCATTTTGTTGAGGGGACAAATTAGCTCTTGAATCACTTTAGTGAGATAGGTGTCGCACTTTGGAGGATCACTTCACAAGATCACTATAGAGGATCCGACAAATGTGTCTTTTTACATCATATTTAAACTTTTAAATTAATTTTTTCCAATACCTACTCTATTTTTCATCGTGTGTATGCCAAATTCTGTCAATTTAGACAGAATAAGTAACAACAGGAAGGTAAATTGCAAAACAACTAAAAATCAAATGAGGGATAAGTGGTTATTTCCAAATGATATGAGGTAAAGTGCAAATGATCTAAACCATAGGCGGATAAAGCGGATTTTGTCCAAAAAAGACTAATGCTCAAATCTTACTCTTAACTTTTGTATTCTTATTTTCATGTACAAAATATTAAAAAATAGTAAGCCTCCGTTTGGCAAGCAAAAAATCAGGCTTTTTTGGCTAAAATAGCCACAAAAAACAAAATAGGCTATTTTAGCCACAAAAAACAAAACATCAAATCTAACCCATAATCATTATAATCCTCTCTCACAAAAAAAGCCAAAAAAGCCAAAAAGCCAAAAGCGGATTTTGTCCAAAAAAGACTAATGCTCAAATCTTACTCTTAACTTTTGTATTCTTATTTTCATGTACAAAATATTAAAAAATAGTAAACAATTTTAGTTCGGTTTGGTTCAATATAAAATCGGGAATCGAACATATTTGAAAAGTTTAACTTTTTTTCAAAATCATATTAATAATCAATATTTGACCCTTATAATGAAATAAATTTTAAATTTTATCATTTTAAATTTTAAAATTTTAATTTATTTTCAATCTAAATTATCTATCTATTTTCGTTAAGTTGACGAAAACAATATATTTTGATTATTAAATTCCATGAAAAATAGTATTTTCAAGATTTTATGTACATTTATATTGAGTTTAATAATTAATATATATATATATATTTGTTAATTTTGCTTAACTGAAATAGGTTGATGGTTTATATTAAAAACAAGGGTAAATTACAAATACACCTTCTGAGATTTGATTAAAATACGAATCGCCTCCTGTGATTTTGAAAATTACATTCCACCCCCTGAGGTTTCTAATTTCATAACAAATCGCCCATTTTATTAATAAATCATCAAGCCAATTAACAACTTTTAAAGATGTTAAAAATATGTTTCAATTAATAATTTAGGTAATTTTATTATTGTATAAGAGAGCAATTATGAATTTTATTTTTTTAGTTAATTCGGTTAAATAAAAAATTCCAATATGGGGCATTTGTAATTTTTCAAACCACGGGGGTAATCTGTATTTTAAACAAATCTCAACAGGTGTATTTGTAATTTATCCTAAAAAAATTTAAAAATTAGAGTTTAAATTTATGAAATTAATAATTCAGAGTTTATTTTGTTATATATATATATATATATGGAATTCTGAAATGGAAATATGGACACTTTTTATATATGGAAATACTTAATACTGTGAATCTGCTTCATATAAATAGGTGTATATGTTAGATATATTGAATAAGAACACACGCTTGAAATAGAGATTTCTTAACAATGGTGTCTTCCCTGAAGGTTTTCTTTACAATTCTTCTTCTAAGTTTTGTTGGCAAAGGTAAGACTCTTACTGCCATTTCTCTCTCTCTCTCTCTCTCTCTTTCTCTCTCTCTCACACACACACACACGTACACACGTACACACACATTGATCATGTTCGATTGAATCACTGACAAAGCCTTTTTTAATCGGGCTGTATAATTTTTTTACAAATTGAACTTGTTACGCAATATTTCCATTCTCAATTCTATAATATGTATTGCAATGTTACATATATTAAAAATTTTACAAAAAATATACATGTCCAAATATTATTGGATGTTTGGATTTTTCAAAAATAATTTTCTAAATTTTCAATCCATATTTTATTATTTTTAGTGAATTTAAAAAAAAAATTATTCATTGTTTTTTGTTACCTAGGTACAAAAATTAGGCAAAAATCTTTCAATTTTTTTCTTTTTAAATTTTTTAAATTTTTTTGTCATCAATGAATTTTTGTAAAGATTTTTGTACAAATTTTATACATTTTTAAGTTTACCTAAATTCTGTAGATCTAAAGAGTAAAAAATTTGATTAAAATGTTCAAAAATTCACTAAAAATAAAAAAAATACGAATTGAAAATTAAAAAAAAAATTATATTTCAAACCAAACAATGTGATTTCTTTTTTGACAAACAATCATATTTGGCCTCTTGTATTTTTAGTAAAATTTTTAGTATTATTAGAATTATTCATATATATATATATATATATATATATATACATATGATTATGGATTCTGTCCCCAAATATCTTTACACCCTTGTTTCACTTTACTCCTAATCATTAAATTATGTGAAAATATCATAACATGTAAATCTAAAGCATAATTTAATGGTTAATTAAGAAAGATTTATATGTTGAATAAGTCTTGAAACCCAGACTTATTAATTCAGATTTTTGTGAGTAAATAATTATGTGATAGAGATTAAATTTATGTAATATGAGATTCATAAATAAATAAATCTTGAATCACAACATGTTAATTTTGGACAATAGAGTTTACTATATGATTGAGATTTTTTTGTGTGCTGTGTGGGCCATGGGTAAAGCAAATACTTGCCACCCAATGTATTTTCATTACACTTTCTGTATTTCAAATTTGTGCCCCTAAATTCTACCCCGGTAATGACCTTTATTTAAGACCAAAATATGTTATATATGTATTTTATCATGAAGACTGTAAAGTCAAATTATACAAAAATATGAAAATGTACACGTTAGCATGTTAGGGTGCACCAAAGATACTTTCATTCCTGACGTTTTTATTATTTTCACCATAAATGAATTTCATCATGTCGACATATTCTTCTTTCAAGTATTGTTGGCAAAAGTAAGGTTCCTATTTTTTTTCACAAATTCTTTTATATATATAATCAGAGTGTATATGTATATATATATGAGTGTGTGTCATATATGTATTTTATCATATATATATTTTATCATAATGACTACAAAACTAAAATCACACAAAATATCGAGAATGTGCCCATCAGCACAAAGAGATCATTCTGTTGATATTTTTATTATTTTCACCAAAAATGAACTTTATCATATTAACATGTGTATATATGTTATACATTTTGGATTTAATTCTATGAAATAGAGTTACTCATAGTTGAAAATTGAATTACAGGTTTAAGCCAAGTATGTAGCTTGGACAATCTGAACATAGATCAACATCGGACGGATAGGATAATACAAGGCAAACCAGAATGGAACGTGACAGTGATCAATAACTGCAATTGTTCGCGACAAGGCATGGCTTTGTCGTGTGCAGGATTCAAAACAGCTGAACCAGTTGATCCTGCAGTTTTTAAACCGATTGACAATGGACTATGTGCTGTCCTTCCAAACAAACTCTTGAAACCTCATGACACTGTAAAGTTCGCCTATGCTTGGGACCCTCCTTTTATTATGTTCCCTCGGAGAGCTACCAGTGTTTGTTGATCAAAACGATCAGTATCTTTCTATCTAACCACTATTTATCTATGCAATAATAAGAAGTTTGTTATTATTGAGTTTTCAATTAGAAGTAACGAGTATTTGAATGTCCAAAATGTTTTCAAGTTGGTTTTGGTTTCTGGGCTTGTTCATATGCAATTATCAGTTGTTTCTCATGGCCAAAGAAAGAAAGAAAATAATTGCAATTTTTTCCATTTTCAAGCTTTTTTTTTCTCACATTTTCTTTATATTTTAAATTCTTATTCAAATCTATGATTCAAACATAATCTTTTTAAGTATTTTAATGTAGCAAATAACTATATGGCAAAGAAAAGTATGTGGAGAACTTTCAACTAAAGAAAATCTTTTTCTACATACCATAACAAGTTCAGGGCTTTAAGCAAGCCCGGCCCTAAGTTATTAGGGACCTATTTTTTTAAATTGGACCCTCCATATTTCATTACCTAAAAAAAGAATGTTTAGATAAAACAAAAAGGATAAAAAATTATTTCTATTGCATTACAATTTAACAAAATTTAGATAACAAATATATATATATGTATTAGTTGAATCGAATCTTTACAAATAACTATATGGCAAAGAAAGGTATGTGGAGAACTTTCAACTAAAGAAAATCTTTTTCTACATACCATAACAAGTTCAGGGCTTTAAGCAAGCCCGGCCCTAAGTTATTAGAGACCTATTTTTTTAAATTGGACCCTCCATATTTCATTACCTAAAAAAAGAATGTTTAGATAAAACAAAAAGGATAAAAAATTATTTCTATTGCATTACAATTTAACAAAATTTAGATAACAAATATATATATATGTATTAGTTGAATCGAATCTTTATTTTTTAGCTTATTAATGCTATAAGAACTAAAATTAATAGGAGGTAAGGATGAGAATTTTTGACACAACTCAAGCAATATATAAAATTAGCAAGTTAGGGTTGACTATTTTTTCAACATGAATCCAAGCAATATGACATGAATTATATTAGTTATATATTTTAGGGTTCGTCTGGCAAGAAGGTTTGGGTTGGGTTGGGACTATTTTAGTCACAAAAAGACAAAATAAGCTAAAAAGTCAATAAGACAAAATGTCACATCTAAATCATAATCATTTTATTTTTTTCTTTCACAAAAGTCAGAATAGCCAAAAAACTCATCCTAAACAAGACTTTTTAGCCCTAAGCTAAAATAGCGAAAAAAGCCAAAAACTTAATTAACATCCCAAACGAAGGGTTAATGTTCACTAAGGGATGCCATGACATTTTTTTAATATTTTATTTAACTCTATCTAACTGAATAAAAAAATATGCAAAATAACAATTTAGGCTAATATCTTTTTTTTCATTTGAGATATGTATTTTTTTGTTACCTATTTTAGAGTCAATCTAGTAAAAAATATATAGTAATAAGGTACAAATATTTTAATTAGAAAAATGCAATTGAATTAAAATCAAACCTTTTATGAATAATTTCATTTAGTAGAAATAAATTTTATAAAATTCAACTTATGGAAAAAATTTTAATCTCTCCATACACTTGTTAAGTTATTTCTAACTAAAAGTAAAAGTTTTCACATTAAATATCAATCGAACACGAATTAAAATAACACCATACGACAGTATGAAAATAAATTAATTGAGTTAATATTGAAATAATTATGAAAGAACACGACATTGTACACTCCCTTAATTGAGGATCCTAAATTTTGTTCAAAATTAAAAATCCGAGGTGACCGCCTTAGTCGCATCAGCTCAAGGTTGGCCCTTTTAAGGAATGTCACCCACACCATAAAGCTCTGCTCTTGCTCAAGGATTTAAGACATCTTTCCAGGTGATTTTATTATTATTATTATTTTTTTTTTTGACAAAAAAAAAAAATACATTTGTAGCTGCACAAGCAAAATCTGAGAAAAGTAGTAACTAGGTTAGCATCCTTACGTCGATTTTTTTTCAGAGAGGATAATTTTGCAACTCAAATCCATACCATACTACTAAGACAATACTTTTTGAGTCAGATCTACGCTGTCTTTTAAAAATTAAAAAAAATTAAAAAAAAAAACCTGTACAGACAATTGACCATGACATTAGTATAGAATAGCACAAAATTAGACATACATATATTAGGGTCACAAATGTTTAGGCCTATGCCAGTACAATAATCTCTACATATAATCTTTCTTTCTACATAAAACTGATGGTAAAGGATCTAACTAGTTTTAGGATTAAGAATATTCAGAAATTAATCACACACAGAAAATAGATAAGATATTTACATGATTCGACAATAATCTACGTCCACGGGAGAGATATCCACTATAGAATTTTTTTTGGAGGGAGTTTACAACACTCACACCTCACTCTCTCTCTATATAGCACTCTCACTTACAAATTACACTCTCTGCTTTGTCTTTCTCTTTCTAATGAACTAACTCAGCTCACCTCTTCCCATTTTATACATAAACGGGAGTGCCAAAGTTCAACATTTGCTTGCCAACAATCAACCATAAACATAAATGGCAAGCTTAATACACAACCACACTAGGTTGAAAAAAAAAAAACTTTTGTAACCTCCATTCTTGACTTCCGAAAAACCACTTTCACATGGTGTGGAATGCTCATCAATTCTCTCCCTCCATACCTATGAGAAGTAGAATCCTTACTGGAAGTCCATCCCAGCAATTTCCCTGCATACTTCGAGTTTGTCTCTCGAGACCACCTTTGTAAGCATGTTGGCAGGATTCTTATCTGTGTGGATCTTGACCAGTTTCAATAACTGCTTCTCCATCACTACGCATATCCAATGATACCGAACATCAATGTGCTTTGCACGTGAATGGTACAGGGAATTCTTGTTCAGATCAATTGCACTATGAGAATCACAATGTACCTTGTACTCTTAGTGCTGTAGACCCAATTCTTGGAAAAACTGCTTTAACCACAACATTTTCTTTCTAGCATCTACGGCAACAATGTATTCTGCCTCTGTTGTAGATAAAGCAATACACTTTTGTAGTTTGGACTGCCATGAAACAACTCCCCCTGCAAAGGTGAATAAAAATCTTGATGTAGACTTTCCACCATCAAGATCACCCGCCATATCAGCATCTGTAAAACCCTCCAAAATTGGTTCAGCTCCCCCAAAACATAGACACATTTTTTAAGTTCCCTTCAAGTACCGAAGAATCCATTTGACTGCCTTCCAATGCTCCTTTCCTGGATTGGCAAGGAATCTGCTTACAATGCCAATTGCGTGAGCTATATCTGGCCAGGTACACACCATTGCATACGTCAAACTTCTTACTGCGGAAGAATAAGGGATTGCCTCCATTTCTTTTTTTTTCAGAGCTAGTCGTGGGACACGAACGCTTTGTCACCTTGAAATGGTTGGCCAGTGGTGTGCTGATTGGCTTGGCATCTTTCATGTTGAACCTTTCAATCACCCATTCAGTATATTTCTCCTATGACAGCCATATCTTCTTGGCTTTCCTGTCACGAACAATTTTCATGCCCAAAATCTGCTGTGCTGGGCCTAAATTCTTCATGTCAAAATATTGTGACAAGTCCTTTTTCAACTTGTTGATCATAGCAATATCTTGTCCGATGATCAGCATATCATCGACATACAACAGTAGGATAATGAAGTTTCCATCCAAAAACCTTCGAAAATATACACATTGGTTTGCTACTGTTCTTTTGTACGCGTGATCCACCATGAACGAATCAAACTTCTTGTACCATTGTCTCGGCGCTTGCTTCAGGCCGTAGAGACTCTCCTTCAGTTTACAGACTAGATTATGTTTCCCTTTGACTTCAAATCCTTTTAGTTGCTCTATATAGATCGCTTTCTTCAAATCACCTTGGAGAAAGGTAATCTTAACATCCATCTGTTCTACTTCCAGATTCAAGTGAGTTGCTAATCCTAAAGTTACTCGAATGGAAGTCATCTTCACAACTGGGGAGAAGATCTCATCAAAGTCAATTCTCTTCTTCTGTCCAAAACCTTTGACCACCAAGCGAGCTTTATGCTGCAATAGTTTACCGTTACCATATTTCTTTAACTCATACACCCATTTCTTCTTCAAGGCTCTCCCGCCTCTTAGAAGTGGAACAAGCTCATAAATGTGGCTTTTCTGCAAAGAACTCATCTCATCTTTCATGGCTTGCATCCAACAGTCTTTCTCTGTATGACTCTTTGCTTCTAAAAAACTCTCGGGCTTTCCCTCACCAGTAATCGAAATATACTGAGAAGCCGGATATTTGGTTGATGGCACGGCAGCTCTTCTAGATCTCCGCAACTGAGGCCCAGTTGCCTTTAGTTGAGGGGGTTGCTCCTCCTACTCAATACCCTCTTCATCCAGGTCTTCATCTATTTCCTCCTGATCCTCAATTTCTGGCATATGATCATGCGACTCTGGCACTTCTTTTTGCACATCATCACATCTAGCATTTTGTGATGGCTTGGGAGATGGTAACAAGTCTGGAGTGATGGCATCTCTAGACTTTGCAGACTTCTCAAAATCTGCTACTGTCTGGTCTTCCTAGAACACAACATCTCTGCTCCTGAACATCTTCCTATTCACTGGGTCCCACAACTTGTACCCAAATGCTGCATCTAAATAGCCCACAAATATGCATGGAGTGGACTTGTCATCAAGTTTTTGTCTATTTTCCTTGGAGATGTGTGCAAATGCCTTATACCGGAAGACTCTAAAATGAGAATATGATATCTTTCTTCTGGACCAGACTTCCTCAGGTATCACAAAATTCAACGGGACTGAAGGCAACTTGTTGATGAGACAACAGGCTCTACGAGCGACTTCAGCCCAGAATGACTTTGGTAACTTTGCCATTCTGAGCATGCGTCTTACTCTTTCAACAATAATGCGGTTCATCCTCTCTGCCACACCATTGTGTTGTGGGGTACCGGGAACCGTTGTCTCGTGCCGAATACCTCTGCTGGCACAATATGCTTCAAAAACATTGGGAAGTGT